GGTCTGTCATTGAATCAAGTGACGTGGTTTGAATTCACAGCTTGTACGTGACAAGGGGTGATCGAACCCCGGGTCTCCTGGCTAGAAAGCCAGGGATATCCTCACTGATCCAACGTGGCCACTACAGTGTACATACTCAGACTACCAGGGAAAACGTATGTCACAATCTAAATATAATTAACGCAGTTGGCATTATGTAGTACACTTGCAAAACTGGGCGAATACTTGATTTTTGTCGGGCAACGGCCTAACCAGTGGTCAACGCTTCGTATACATTAACCTATTTAATTTGTTGTTGGCTGACTTGGAATCTTGAGTCTATAATTTCATTATGCTAGAGACAGCACATCTTTAACCTGACTTACTACTGGCTTCATCATTACCGATCACTCAACCTGTTCACTTCTGTCAGTAAAGTCTGAAGTCGGTCTTGAGGCATGAGTGTTATCAAATTTCATATTTAAATTGCTACACATATGTAGGCCCACATATTCTCCCCGTGGCAAGGAGTAGGGTCGCCTTATCCAACCTCGTGGGTTTTCTCCCCGCCCCCCCCCCCCCCTACGCGCATGCGAATTATTGAAATAAAATTCAATCCTGTGTTAGTCACGAGTGGACGTTAAACCCCCATCTTTCTTCCTCTCTCTATTCTCCCCGTGATGTGGAAATTATTCGGAAATAATCGCTGCTATGCTACACATTGTAGCCCCAAAATGAAAATTTTGTGGATTCTAATTGGTCGAAAGTGACTTGGAATAAGTATAACGGTCATCAAATGAAAGACTAATTACTGCGGATTAATACACGACTTTATTGATTTTTATTTCTTATCGTGTTGTTATTAGGGGCGGAGCTCTTCGAAAAAAGCCTAAGCCTCCGCCAATTCAATTACGTTCGACATGGAACGGTGCATGCTTGTTTTTTTGGACTATTGCGAACTGATTGACGGACATTGTTTTTTGATATGACATTACAATTCCAAGATGGATGTGATGACGCCATACAAAGAAAATTAGCTGGGATTGACAAAACTGTTGATTTATGTCCTAAAGATATTCTTCATTTATTTTACTCGTGTCTAGACCTAACAATATTAATTATGCTCATTAAAGATATACTGACAGGGAAATATCTCTGGTTATCGATCCCAGGTGTGAGCGTATGTGGCTTGGAGATAGGGGCGCCTTCTCAACCTCGTGGGTTTACTCCGGGTACTCCGGTTTCCTAACACAGTAAAGACCCCTGCGCGTGGGCTAAGATAATAAAAATAAGACAACTTGTTTGCGATATCACCCTCGGTGGAAGCGGACGTTAAACTCAACTCTAATAAAGACGAGAATATCGTCGTCAAAACGTTGCATGTTAATAAATCAGTGATTGTTATTCCATATAAATAGTTTTTAGTGTGTTACTGTTCAATTACTAAATGCCACTCAAAGAAATACAAAAAAAAATCTGAACTCCGCAAGGCATTATATATTTTTTTTTAATCTTCGATTTTAATATGACTTTTTATGAAACTTTTATCGACACTGATACGGACGGTATATATAACATGTATGGTGTGAATTACAGAGGCGAATCCAGGAATTTTTGCTGGAAGGGGGTTTGCCCGGTATCATTGGGCCCGGTATCATTGGGGTGGGTCTCCCAACCCCCCTTAAATTTTTTGAGAAATACGTGGTGTCTTTCGTCATTTTGGCGTGTATACATACACATTGAGCTTTTTAAACAGAGAGAAATCCAAAACCCCGTTTGACGTCAATTTTTATTATGAATTAATACGATGACATTGTGATTCAATTTCATTGATGCAAAGAATTAATTGTGATATCACATATGTGAAGGGTGACGTCGCTTTTTTTTCTTTATACTTATAGCTTAACATTGAAAAAGGCGTGGCTCGTCGCTTTTTTTCAAGGGCGACGCGTGACGCGGGAAGTGGTCGAAATAGAACACCATACATATGCCTATATCATTAACTTGCGTTTTGAACGCCCATCCCATCAGACCGTGACACTTTTCTCATAAAAAGTGTTGTTTTACAATTTGTTTATGTTATAGCTGAGCAGGAGAGGGTTCGGACTCCCCGCTCCCCTCGCCTCGATCCGCCCTGGAATTAATACCTTTATAAGTTAAAAAAAAGGTTATACTCGGTTAATGATCCACAGTACGCTCGTACTTGTTTACAGGATAAAGGATATATAAAAAAAAATAACCTCTAGATTTCTTTTGAGTTTCTAAATAAAATAAAACCAAGTACGACCAATCCAAACCATTAGACAAAATTCAAAGTCCTAAAAAAACGATTTGGCAAAGTAGTGTAATCGGTACTTAACATGTAACTATAAGGCTGTTCTTTACGAATTCATACAGAGTCTTACTCACCGATCCACCTCTGCTCCCACCCGGGAAGAGAAAGGGCTATTTATTTCAGTGTATTTTTAGATCTCTCATATCCAAGTCGTCTGGTATATTATGAACTTTAAAATCTAATATGTTTTGTGTCTATAAACATACAATTGTTTTCAGTTATTGAAAAGAAAAAAAAATATGTTTGTAGTCTAAAAGTGCAATTGCTAAATGCTATTGAATAGTGGATAAAAATATCTGTTTCTTATAGTAAAACCTATTGTGTCTAAAATTAGATTTTTATAGGCTTTCTAAATATAGAAAAGGTGTATTCGGCTGTTTTATCTTCTTTGTACTGTTACCAAATATAGAAAAGGTAAATTCCGTTGATTTTAGCTATAATGTACTTTTATCTTACTAGAGACAGGTTGAATTCGGGTGTTTTAGGTAGAACGGTTCCCAAATATAAAAATGGGAGATTTGTTTGTAGCATGGTTTTACAATTATAGAAATGCCGGTTTCAGCTGTTTATGATAGTTATGTAAGGTTTTCAAATATCGAAAAGGTAGATTCGGATATGTGTTTAAGGCTGGAGATAGAGAGAGATGGCGGAATGGTTAGCACGTGCGCGATGTATCATACGGTCTGTCATTGAGCCAACTGGCGGGGTTTCGATTCCCCGGTTGTACGTGACAAGGAGTAGGGTCGCCTGTCCAACCTCGTGGGTTTTCTCTGGGTCCTCTGGTTTCCTCCCACTGCTAAAGACCACCTACGCGCAAGCGAATTATTGAAATAAAATTGAATCATGTTTTAGTCCCGAAATACCTAGTTTGTGTCGAGTGGGCGTTAAGCCCATCTCTCTCTCTCTCTCTCTCTCTCCCTCTCTCTCTCTCATCGAGTCAAATGGCGTGGTTTTGATTGCTCCACCTGAGAACAGACATTTAAACTAGTTGACAGACGCTTTAAGTCCTAAATCGACGATTTTAATCGAAAACACTAAGTATAATTCGAATTTGAGAGGTATTTTGGCTTCCATTCAAAGATACATTATGGGAGATTAGATAAAGAGTTGACAGCTCTCACCATTATAGTTAAAAACTAGATAATGTAAAGGCAATTTGCTAAAAATTTCAGTCAAATTGATCCACTATGAACTGAGAATTAAGCGATTGAAATTTCTGCCTACCCTCGATCCTCATTACTAAAGTCGGTACGATAAAAAAAAAACATAGTCTCGATTATTCATTTCATGATTAAATCAGGAATGAAAGTTGAGCAGCAAATCGGATCATAATCCAATTAATATCGCAGGCTAGCGTTGACATCGAGAGTTGATTATTGTCTGGATAAGTTAATTAATGTCTATTTAATAATTTAGATAACATTTCAGGCCTAAAGAAAGACCTGCGATAGGCAGATTTAGCTCTTGCATAATGTATGTTTAATAAATTTGAAAAAGTTTAATTAGTCTTTTTCTGTATAACAGATGTGACCAGGAGTAGGACAGCATTACAAAACAGTACATTAATTGTTGTTTATGGCGGCCATTTGGGACAGAGATCTATAGCGAGCCAGCGCCTTATTCATGGAGCCACAGTGACGCCATCTTATACATACTACATAACGTATGCCTGTATTCGTTAACCAGTTTGATGGAGAGCAGCGTGGCGTTAAAAAGGCATTCTATTTCATTATATTACTTCATATAAATTAGACAGGCTATAATAATCGTGTTGTACACAAGTTTTTGTGGGGTTTAATTCGGTTTGACATAATCTATCAGCTTAGAAAATAAACAGCCGACATTTATCCCATTGGTTGATTAACTTTCTCCCCTTTGCCAATTCTTTATCGCAGGAATTTCATAAAGTTCACATCATTTCTGTTATCTTCAATGGATAATGGTAAACAAAACTGATAGTTTAGTTTAACCAGTTAAATGGACCAATTCGTGAACTTCCTGCAAACATTAAGTTTAAATCCTATAGTACAAAGTGGTAGTCGTGTTCCGGATGTGCGCGATGTGGTTCAATGTCCTGTCCAATCAGGCTTATGAAGACGGACATATCCATCATGCAGTGTGCTATAGGAGCTTAATTTTGCCGAATCTCAGTGGGTCTTTAACGTGCTTCCATTGTTATACACGGTACCTCTGTTAACGCCCACTCAACACAAACTATGTCATTTCGGGACTAACATATGGTTCAATTTTATTGCAACAATTCGCTTGCGCGTATGGGTCTTTAGCAGTGGGAGGAACCGGAGGACCCGGAAGAAACCCACGAGGCTGGACAGGCAACCCTACTCCGTGTCACATACAAGGAATCAAAACTACGCCACTTGGCGCAGTGGCAGACTTTATGATTTCACGCGTACACGTGTTAAACCACTAGACCACCCAAACCCCACAACAAGAGAGAGATGGTTAATTATTGTAGAAAAGCAATATATCAAATAAATCTATATAGATGTAGATGACGACTAATTGTATTATTAAAATCATTAAACAATTGTACAGCACGCCACATACTTCTCAATCCATTTCCCGACAGCATCTCCACCGTATATAATATAGGATTTTTCGTTTCAAAGGACGTCGATACCATAGTGTCTGCTAAAAGCTTCTCTGATGCCGTGCTATCTATCTATGGTTGTCTTCTCACTAGCACTCTCGATTGTCGATATAAGCAGGACCGTTTCTCGTAGCGTGAGAAGATAGTAAAACTTTTGCCAAGTGTCGACTGGAATTAGGAAACCAGTTTATCCAACAAGATACCTAAGTTTTAGAAACTAGACTGAATTGATCTTTGGACTTCTGACACTTTCGTGGAATATTTTTCTATATCTGAATTCAAGAATTTATTGTGAAAGGTATTTTGTATATTTTGTTTTTCTTTCAAAAAAACTTTTATTTATTTATTTTTTGGTTTGTGTTGCTGTTTTCTTACATTATAGAATTATATTTTCTTGATTATCCAGACCATAAGGGGCATTCCCCTGTTGGTTATTATTTGTGATAATGATTGTTCTGTGATTCCGAAAGATTTCACACGATGAAAGTTTCGTGGGGGTTTGGGTGACCGCGTGGCCTAACTTGTGCGCTTTAGATCATAAGATATGTCCTTGAGTCAAGTGGGTGAAGTGGCATGGTTTTGATCACAAAGACAAGGAGTATATATGGTCCGCAGCCCAACTTCGTGGGTTTTCTCTGGGTACTCCGCTTTACTGCCACTAGTAAAGCAAATATTGAAAACTCCCTCTCTCTCTCTCTCTCTCCCTCTCTCTCTCTCTCTCTCTCTCTCTCTTAGATCTTACACTGGCATTGTTAAAGTACTCCGCCCGGCTGTGGCAAAAAAGGCGTTTGATTTAATTTCATATTACAAAGTATTTAGAGTTTGGTGTAAACAATATAAAACTGTTCCCATAATAATGATCATTACACATTAAAATTTACGACTTAAAAGATGACTATTTAAATTTTTGTGCGATTTAATCCAATGGCTTGGATAAAGTATGTGAATTGAAAGCTGGAAGCAGCGACCACGAAAATGATTATATAATCTTATCATTTCCTGATAGGTGTTACATGTTACTAAAGCAGTGGTAATGAACGTGGAACGCTGAAAAAGGTTATAATCATTACTTTATAAATTGGTATCTATTATAGTATTTCGCTTTCCGAAACTAAAGATAAGTACGGATTATCAGAGATTATTAATCCCTAATTGTAAAAACAAAGCGTCCACGAGATACCAATAATGATATTAAATACATTTATGTTATTATCGCACCTTAAAGGCCGTACATTTAATGCGCCTCTGAAAGCAAAGAAGCTTTTACTAACCACTAATATATTCATTATAGAATAATTCCGTTTCCAAATATAAAATAATAAGTATGGATTATTAGAGGTTATTAACCCCTGATCGTGAAAAGAAAGCTTATACCACTTACTAATAATGATATATCAAAGATATTTATGGAGTTTATGACACCTTAAAGGTCTCAAATTTAATGCGTATCTAGCTGCAAAGAAGCTTTCACTACCCACTGGACCCACTGATATATTAATTAAATAATTGACAACACTTTGATTAATGTGGGAGTAAGACGCATGGGGGCCCTGGTGCACTTTATTGGAGGCCCATGTCAAGTTCACCTTCATCAAAATAAACTAAGTTTTACACTGTTCATGTCATCCAGATGGTTGCAATAAACGTCAGTTAATTTCATTTGATAATAAATGAATTTAGTCGAATATACCCTTTTTTTACTCAGGCATTCATATAATTTATGCAATTGTTAAAACATTTCTTTATTTTAACTCTCTAAGGGGCCGTGAATAAATTGTTCACTGTTTTATTTTTCACAGTTGAACAGACTGACAAATTTAGTTTATTTGAAATGCTAAAAAAAACTGTAACTAATATACGAGAAACTTTATGAGGGGTAAAATGGGATATAGTTTTAATGTTAGGGTAAGAAAAAAAAATTAAAAAGATTTTTCTCCTCGGGTTCAAGGTGGATCAGTAAATATAAGTAGCTGGCTCGCTAACCAGGAGACGTGGGTTCTATATCGCGTTGGCCGAGGTTGTTCCATGGGTTTTTCCAGGGATGTGTCCCATTTTAAGTTGTGCGGAACGGAGGGCCTGGCAATTAACAGCGTCTATTCGTTGGGATGGGACAACCAAACGCGGTCCCGTTGGCGTGCTCGTAATCAAACCCTTGCTTGCCACTTGGAATTCGGAATAGCGGCACCTTTCGGACAAAATGTCCCCCATAACACACTGCACTTCCGTCTTCATTAGCCCAGTCGGTAGCCTACAGGAGAATAGGATGTCAAACCCATCTTATTTTTTCTCCGAATTCATGGTAACACAGTATAATGTATAGCGTATATTGTTAGTAATCTATCTACGGGAGGATGAGTGTGTAGAATATTTTTTTAGCCGCCGATCATTTCTATGTTACTGACTATATCTACGTTTCCACGCCTTTACCCACGCTTAAAACACTGTATTCAAAATAATTATTTTACGTTTATTTAACCAAAATATCAACTGTAGATAATACCTTGGCTTGGATTCTATCGAATTAAAAAAGAGATTCGACAAAAGATTTCACCCAGCACGTGTTGCTTGTATCGTCTGCCGAGGGTGCAAAATGTTTCGAAATGTTCATTTCATCATATCTCCGTAAATACAGAACAAAATTGATCCAGTTTAAAACTGGACAGCTGTCTAGTCGTTCGGATGGGACGCAGAAACGAAGTCCTGTGTACACATTGGCGTGCACGTAGAAAATCAATTGGCAGTTGTAATTTGATATAAGAGTAGGTCGGAACGCCGCTGTCCGGACAAAATATCCCACATAGCACACTGTTTGGCTTATGTTCGCCTTCATTAGCTCAGTCGGAGCAGAACAGTTGGACGTTAAACCCCATTTCATTTCATTTAATTGTTGGACTGATATTCCTTTTAGATTTTCAACTTTTACAATATTGTGGTTCGCAAGGGATTGAAAGTTCCTCAAATTACGATCAGCAACTTTATTAATTTAAAATGACCCACCTGATTACGGTCAGTGGCTTTAACTGACCAAAAATTAAAGGTGGACTAATCATATCGATATATGTCTAACAGGATATGCGTCCCCTGTTCAGAACATATGATACCACTTAAGTCTAGGGACATCAGTCACTCTCGAGAAATCGATATACTGTCTATCACTATGATTATTCCTGGTTTTATACATGAAATTGAAGTGGTCAAGTCGATGATATCATAAAGAAACAAATTAATATGAATCATGGAATGTCTTAAAAAACAGTTTTCATCATTTCGAAATCTGTGGACCAGATTTATATATATAAAATAAATAAAAGATTCTACTCTCAGGTAAAAGTATATAGGAAAGTGAGGTTTTTAGAAAGAAAAAAACTAATTTCATCTTAGCTAGCGCTTTCATCCACTACGGGGAGACGTCATGGCGTTATTAATACATATTATGACGTGGAAAGGGAAAATTTAGGGTATTCCCCTTATATAATCTCAACTGGTCGGATAATAATTTGCTAGAAAATAAAGAAAGGCATTTTATTAACAAGTATCACCCTAAATTAAATGCTGCATATATTGGAATTTGATATTGTAAAATATTTATATTTGATATTATTATTGTCATGTACATATATGTATTAATAACGCCATGACGTCATGTAATTGTATACTATCTCATTATTAAATGCCTGATGATCCCCGTAGTGGGTGAAAGCGCTAACTAAGATGAAATTAGTTTTTTCTTTCTAAAAACCTCACTTTTCTATTAATTATTCTATAACTACCTGCAAATACAAGCAAATATCATTGAATACGGCCATTGAATACAACCATTGAATAACCTATAGTTGTATTCAATGGCCATTGAATAACCTATAGTTGTATTCAATGGCTTGAAAACGTACTACTTTTGACCAGAATGACGTCACTTACAGAACTACGTCAAACTGTAATGGCGTCACAACTAGGCAACCACAATTTTTGGAAAAAAAGAAAGAAAAAAGGGCGGAACCTATGATGAATTTTAACGTTAGTGGTAATGATTTTTTATGATAATCTAGATAGTACAGTGTATTTTGAGATTTGCATGTAGTTATAGAATAAAAACAGAACTCAATGACCATTGAATACCGCTCGGGTTATTCAATGGTTCACTCGAGTGTATCCCTGCCGCATTCCACTCGCTATCGCTCGTGGAATACTTGCGTAGGGATACACTCTCTTGAACCATTGAATAACCCGAGCGGTATTCAATGGTCATTGAGTTCTATCTATATATATATGGCAGCACTGTACGGGGTCTAATTACCGCTTGCCTTTTCTTCCCTCTTCTCTAACTTCTCGGGGTGTGGATGGTTAGGTTGTTACCGGAATCAACCGTTCGAGAACGCAGCTTGTCAAAGCTGGCTGCAATTGTTCTTGACAGACTCGAACTTGTTCAGACAATATCAAATTTTGCACGACCCAGTACCGGATCTAAGGGGGGGGGGCGGCAAAGTGGGATAAATGTCCAATGGATGACAATGTGGAGGCCACCTTCAAATCGCCGTGGCACGACTTAATCCACACCCAAAATGACTATATAACATTTAAATGTGGGAAAACAAATCAGAATATCATCTGTAGATCATCTCTCTCGGCTTGGATTCAATCGGATTCACAATAGGCACATCAAAAGATTCTAGTGAAGAATATAAATGGCGCGGACTTGTTTTGATCATTTCTAGTTTACATCGTCAAAGGATGTCAAATGTTGACATATTTTCAATCCATCATCTCTGTAAATACTGAACGAAATTTGGACTGATATTCCTTTCAGCGAATCAACTTTCATAATATTGTAGTTTGTAAGAGATTAAACATAATTATCTCAAATATCCATCAATACATTTGTAACAAAGTACTCTATAACTTTCATCAAACTGAACGGTCATTTAGGTGCTTAGAACTTTATGGCCTCAGCTGGTAGTGTTAAACGTTTTAATCACCCTGAAACACAATATTCAAAGTACTTCGAAACGTGACGAGTGTAATAAACAAAAAAAATTCTTTGAGAAGCCTTACAGCGACATTATGGAAGCTGGCAGTTCTCGCTATAGTAGTTTAAACATAAATAATGTAACGGGAATATGCTGAAAAGTTCAGTCAAATTATTTCACTCTGAGTCGAGAAATACTCATTTTAATAACACTCGATTGTCATTGTCCCCGTTGTTACGATAATAAACAAAGTCTTGATTATCCATTTTACGGTTAATCATCAACGCCCGTTGAACGGCAGATCGGATTCAATTAAGTCGTATGAAAATCGACC